TTCACGTAAAAATGATTAAACAATTGCTGCCATTAATATGTAAATAATTTGTTAAATATTTGTTTAATAAATTGCATTTAATAAACATTTGTGAGCAAAATCAGGTAAATAATAGGAAATCCAAATAATGTATTATCTTTCCAAAGGAGTTAAAAACAAAATATTAAAAATGAATTAAAAACATTCAAAAATATAATAGTTATGCAACTTATTAGTTTAACAAAAAGGATTTAATTATAACATGAATTTTATTAAAATAAATTCCGTTTTAATATTATAGCTATAAAAGCATAAATGTTTATCAAATATATAAGATTATTATTTCTTTTTAGTCACATTGTGTTTGATTTTTGTTTTTAGTTTCGTTGGATTAAGTTTTGTTAACAAAGGTTTGGGTTTCGGTGACAAAGGTTTTGGTTTTTGTGTCAATACTTTAGGGTTTTGTGACAATAGTTTAGATCTTTGTGTCAATTGTTTGGGCTTTCGGTTCGCCTTTTTTATGGCTATTTGTTTGACTCGACTTTTATTTGAACTCATCTTTGAGGCAAAATGTATGAAAACTATACATATTATCATTATTGCCAAACCCGCACCAGTAGCTGTTTGTCAAATATAAATACTAAATAATTAATATTTGGTTTACAAAATAGAGTCAAATTTCTATAATAATTACGATTATAATTACTTATTAACGCCGATATTATTAAAATAACAAACTTATCTCGAGTAGATCTCGTTGTTTCCAATACAGGTGTATATGACATATTATTTCTGTATATACTATACAACGGTAGGTCTCGCATGCCAACCGTAGGCATACCTGATTCATGGCTATAGAGCTCCGGTATCTTATATTCGATGAAATTAATTAAATCATATGTTTTAATATCACTCGCGAATCGTTTCCATGAATTCAATTCACTGTTTGCCAGACTTTGGTAATAGGTTTCGCGACATTTGAGATATTTTTGTACACTTTTTTGTCGCATAACTCCATACTCTCGCCAAAAGAGATAATTGTTTTTCACGTAAACCTTATCTCGATTTTCATCGATAAAAGCCGCGTCTAAATGACTGGGAAGTGCCATACTTTTCACATCGGATCCATAGCTCAATACAAATGTGTTGTTAGTATCTCTCGAATAAAACCAAAACTTGTGTTTCTATTGAATGCCATATTTTTAAGGAATATTCTGTATACCAATCAATTAATTAATACAAACTTTAAACACATAACAGGATCTAAATGTGTTATCACATGAGATGGCATCTAAGTTATGGTCAATTTTTGAAAACAGGTCTGTCAGTGGTTGCCAACCACTACCCTGATAATTGTTATAATTAAAAGCCGTGTATTTCCCTCCTTTTGCGACATAAACTTCAGAGTTGACTGAATCGATAAAAGCCAAGTCTATGTTACGAAACTCCGGGTCTAATAATATTAGGCTGTCTACGGTCGGGTACGTATGGCTATAGAAATCCCAAATCCAGTAGAAATTACCGCTAAATATATATAAAAGCGTATCATTTGTCAAAACCATTGCATCGATCGATGCGCTTAAACATAGATTTGATGGACAGCCCGACCATTCTGTGATTGACTTCAAACATAATGTAATTAATAAGTAATTATAAAGTGTTTAAATTTCATTCGAGTAGGCATACCCTATAAGTAGAGGTTCGTTTCAAAGTATAAATACTTTCATCGTTGAATGCCATATCAAACAATGCAAACCTATTGGTATCAAACCCCAGGTACACCTGAGCCGTGTATTGTATATGATTATCCAATGTATGGCTGTAGTGACTGTCTTTAATAAGTACTGATCGGACGGTTAGATCTAAGACCAGTTCAGTGACCACAAGTTTATCATTGGATTTTAATGTATAAAACCGTACAAATGATGGCAAGGATTCTCGGTTTGAAAATACTAATAGACATTGAGTATCTGGACACTTAATGAATGCTATTTTTTATGTGGAGAGAGAGAGAGAGAGAGAGAGAGATTATTAAAATTATGCAAATTCATAAAAAAAACAAAAGATTTATTATACCATAAATTGTTTGTCCAAATCAGTCATATTAGCAAAGAATGGATAATTTTTTTGAATTTGTTTGAAGTCTAAAACAAAACTATTCGATACATTAGTGATGGTAAACGTGTGTCCATTGAAGATGTATTTATAAAAATAATAGACTGTCTTTGAAAATATATTCAAATCTTTTCTTTGTATTTCATAAACATTGTCCACATTTGATGAACTGATTATCAATTTACTTGTAATTTGCGGAAAGTATTTGCTCTGTAAATAGGAATCTATTGTCTTATTTGAGTGGATGTCCATTGATAGGCGATTTGTTATCTCATTGAGTTTCACAGGAAATACACGTTTGTCAAGAAATGTATAGACCGTATGGTTGGGTAGCATAAGAAGTGAATCGGGAGAAGAGGTATGATTTTTGCACAAACTTTGTCCGGAGTTTTATCAATGTTTTAGTATATTTGTATAATTATAATCAATATGTGACTTACTTTTCAAAATAAATGTCAAATGTTTTGTCACAATAGAGTAGATTTAGTGACGGTATGAGTAGTAAGACTTTGATTGATAGCAACTCCATATCTTTTGATCATAAACTCAATGTCTGTGAAACTATTGTAAATAAATAGTAAAAATTGTTATTTCAATAATAAGTATTGTTACCTAATTCACGTAATGTGAAATTTGAATTTGAAATTGGTCACTTACGGAAATGTAAATTTGTGACAAAATCACAGATTGTTGAAAACGTGTTAACCAAGTCATAAATCTGAATACATTTAACCAAAATATGAAAATTGAGTCCACCGTATATTGTTGTTATTTTGCATATATGATTGTCATTTTCATTGTTAAATTTAATCTAACGGTTATGTCTAACTCGGACTCTCAATTGATAACTGAACTCATTTTGTGATTAATTTGAATGTTGAAAATCATAATAAAATTCAACTTAAAGATATGAATATCACTACAATTATTGTCCTATTATTCTTATACTCATATCAATCACTCGTTTATGGCAATGAAGTCGATAGCTATTTGGAAAAGTAAGTCATATAAAAGTATAAAAGTATAGAAATGATAAATAGAATTCAATACAAACCTAGTCTATGCCAAAGTGGCACTAATCCTATCGATGCACTGCTTATGCTACCCAACCATACGGTCATCACATACCTTGGTATTTATGAGTTTACAGTAACACTCAATACGTACACCAATCGGATAGTAATGGACATCGACTCCAATAAGACACTAGACTCTCATTATAAAGTTAGAGACAGGAGTGCCTTTCAATGTATCGGTTCATCGTTTGTGGGAAACAAAAATTACCTTGCTCACCGAAATCGTAGGGAATTGACGTATATTATGATTAGAAACTTTACTGGCAATGGCTTTACACAAGTTGGACCACAAGACTGGCAACACAATCGCACCCAAGAATTTAAAACATTATATAAGTTCTACGGCAATATGACAGCCAGTGTGAGAGATGCCATGGTTAGTATCATTGAGTATATATTACTGTTAGTATTAGTGTAGCCAACTCTAAGAATTTTCACCCTGGAGATTTACATAAATTTAACCCCAATTTCCTGGAGAATCCTGGAGAAATAGTTTATTAATTTAAATTAACCGAAAATAATTAGTTATGAAAATTTTAATATATAAATTCGAAACAAGTAAATCAATGGTAATTTAATTAAGTTGTAATGTAATAAAAATTCATTTTAATAATTGTTTACTAAATTAACCCCTTTAAAATTTTAATATTTATTGAAAACTATAGTAAAATAGACCTGAAACTTATATTTTTATGCTATCATTTGTTATATTAAATAAAGTGATATTAAATGATTTTTATCACTCGGAGTACATTATGTTCTATTTATATTATTTAAACCATAATATTGCATTATTATTAAATATTTGTTAACATTTCTAAATTATAAATACATTGTAATCTTATTATTACATAAAATATAATTATCAGGTCCAAAAAGATAAATGTTTCATTAAAACTATTATGTATTTA